GCGAACTTGACGTTCACCCAACCTGCTCCACTTTCCTGTGAATTCAGGGCCAGTATGAATAAAGAGATCAATTCAACAATAAATACACTTTTTCTTCAGTCTAAAAGTCATTGTACTTGTTCACGATTATGGCCTTCCTTGACCAGGACTGAAAGCCTGGGAGCACCATTCTTGGTAGCTCCATAGAATGTGGTGGTGGGACTGAAAGGTTTTGGAACTGAGGGTAAATTGATAAAGGAAGCTAGAAAGCCACCTAATTCTGCCCAATAGAACATTGTAAGTTTTAACCTGCACTCTTAATTGGCTGTGAATCCAGACAGATAGGTGATGGAGCTCTTCTGACAAGAGGTAATTGTCATAGGCATGCTATATTTGGTGATGACATTTCTCCCTTGATGAAAAAAAAAAAATCAGAAAAAGTAATGCTGTCTTCTGATCCAAATTAATCATGGCCATGTCATATTGAGGGTCCTAAATAAATTCTTCATGACAACCCTAAACACAGAGAAATAAATGCAAGTCTACAACTTCTATGGTTCATATTTTGGACTAAAAGCTCCACTCATTCACACACCCATGCATAACCACCCCCCTCAAAGTTGCTCTAAGTTGAGTTCCAGAAGAATTTAGATTGGGCACCCATCAGGTATGGTGTGTGATACTCCACAGTCCCCATGAATCTTTACAGCTTCTCCAGTCCATCAAAAACTGGCACTTTGTCTCACACCTCCTAATTCTTGCCATCAGAATGCTATTGCCTCATTTATCCCACATCCAGTTCTGGGAACCATCTCTTCTGTGTATTCTTCATGCTCTTCTTGCCTCTGTGACCTGAGTTGTATAGATCCTAAGTACTCAATTTTTCATACATTGCATTATTACTATACTGTGGCATTGGCATTAGTGTCAATGCACTGGCATTACAACATTACAATTCATGGTTCACTGATCAATGTGATTACACATGGCTAAATATTCTGTCTCATAAACCAAAGCTCATCTCTGCCATCCATCACAAGAAAACATTCCTTTTACATTATAGAATGGGGAGATTCATATGCCACCCCTCCTGGCCCTATTTTAAAAAATCATTAAAACCTGGCTGTAACCCTAGACCTGGGGTTAGTGGAGGTGATGGTCCCCTTTCTGATGTTTTAAATGATTGTTTTTTTCCAGACTTCTGATAATTTATTTCATAGTATTTTATTGTTGTATTTTGTAAGCTACCCAGAGTTGTAATAGTTTAGGGTGGAGTCTATAAATAATGTCATCAGCTGAAATTGGCCTTATCTGGAGATCAGTGTCTGCACTTTGCCTGTCATTTCTTTGGTTGTATGCTAGTTTAATTTTTCATTGTTTTTAATCAGTGTTATGATTTATCTGCTCATGAAAAAAATTATAAATACCTCACTCTAAGGCTCTAGGTGATGTATAAATTAAAGTCATTCACAATACAATATAGAATAGTAATATCATAAGATGAAAATTAAACCATAAAACAGCAACAACAACAACATTTCCATATTTGGTGTGGATCTTACTTCAAAGGCCTTCTGGAAAAGCCAGGTCTTAATTCTCTGGAAGGCCATTACAACAGAGGCATTTTGCCTAAGGGGATAAGCTATTCTAAAGGAGGGGAATAGCCACCAAGAGCACCCCCCCCCCCAATGCCCCTTCCAGTTTTACTTCCTGATAGGAATGGACCTTCAGCAGATGCTTCTATTTACCAGGTCAGGTGGAAAGAATTTATTTGGGACAGGTGGTCTCTAAGATACCCAGGTCCTGATCCACACAGGTAATGACCAGCATTTTGAGTTGCATACAGAAACCAACTGTTAGCCAGTGCAGCTCCTGTAGCAACAGAGTTACGTGACAACACTGTCATTCTCCAGTAAGCACATGGGCACCCACCTTTTCTACCAGCTGAAGTTTCCTGGTGGTCTTCAAAAGAAGCCCCATGTAGACCAAGTTGCAGTAACTGAATTGTGAGGTGAGAGGTGAGAATGGTGAGTGACCATTTTCACTGTGTCCTGTTCTAGGTAAGGCCACAACTAAAATACCAGGTGACACGGGCAAAGGTCTCCTAACCACAGCTTTCATCTCCTCCTCCAGCAGGAACTGTGAGACCAGGAGGATTCCAGACTGTGAGCTTGCTCTCTTAAGGAGAAGCATAACCCCATCAAAGGCCAAAGTTGGTGTCACCCCAAGATCAATTGGCTTCTAAGCCAACATCTTGCTTGGGTTGAATCTGAGCCTGTTACTCCTTATCTGGTTCCTGGTAAGTTCCAAGCACTGGATCAGGATTTCCACCACATTTATTTAGCATGGAGTGGAGATGTAGAGCGGGGTGTCATCAGCATATTTATGAAAACTCAGTCCATACCCACAGATGATCTTTCCCAGTGTTTTACCTCCTGGCTGTTCATCTTCAGGGAACCTCTGCTTTAACCTACATTGGACCATCCAAATGCCTTGCCACTTATCTCCTGCTGAAATCCTATTCTCATGAATATAGGGCTTCTTGTCACAAACTGAGTTTCATTGTTGAAACTTGTCACCACCAGCATGGTGTAGCTATTAAGGTGCTGGGCAAGGAGTGGGGAGACCTGATTCTGGTCCCCCACAGAAGCTCCCTAGGTGACCTGGGCCAGACATTCCCTCTAAGCTCAACCTAACCCACAGGTTGCTGTCTTTATTCGTTCATCTCCTGAATGAAAGGTAGGATATAAATACATGTAAACATCTCTTTTATGCTATGATTTTTTAAAGACGTTTACAAGACATCTTCTTACAGTGTTTTTAAAAACCAAGTTAAAGTTTAGCTCTGATCTTAACTTTTGTAGAGCTTTTAACCACTCTTGTACTGGCAATATATTAATAAGTCAATGTTTAATGTCCATCTGGTTTATACACTTCTGTATCTGCATTTATGATCACTATTATTAGCTAATTATCAAAGCCTTAATTTCCAGAGGGATGAGAAAAATCATGCTGTAATACATTTGCTTACAGTCCTTTACCTCACACATCCTCATTGCCTATATTTGACCTCTTCTTTAGCTGAACTTTATTTCCATGCTCACAGGAGCACATTGTCTCTGTTTTGGTTATTAATTATTAATACAAGCTGGACTTCCTGCTGCTTTGTTCTTCATTTCACCCTATTGGCCCATTTACACATAAGCATCAATAAATCCAAGCAGAGTACAGTATTTGGGGGGTTCAGCTGAACATTACCTCGCCTCCTTCAGTCCTAGTGGAACTAGTGGTTGGTGTCTTCAGGCCTTCCTACTGTGTAGTGCCTTTGGCTACACAAAGCATTATCCAGCAAATGTTGGGAGAGGGTGTTATTCTACCCATGAGCATCAGCCTCAGACTTCATCAAACTAAGTTGTTACAATATGCAGACTTCCTCCCCATAGCCCAGGAATATTTCCACTCCTCCTGGCTGCACCATGCACCCTTTAGGGCCATAAGTCAGGTCATGTCACCTTCCCTTTCCTCCTCAGTTCTCCGTGGGAAATTACAGCTCCAAACCGTTGTCAGTCCCAGCTGAGAGCAGCTTCATGCCCTAATAACTAGTGCTTGGCCCACTTTAAGAAAAGTTACAGAATGAACACACTTGGAGGTGCTCCCTCTGGGAACTCCTCCAAGCTGAAGCTTTCAAGGAAGAACCACTTAAGTTATTCTGGTCCCTTTGAAGCAGGTTATCCCACAGCTGAGCCTCATTCGCTCCTGGAATGCCACTTCCAGAATGTTGAGCAACTTGAGGCTTTTGCAGGGAGGGGAGTGCTACTTCCGCACAGCTCTGCCTGCATCCATGTCGTTTCCTGGCTTTCACTGCAGGAGTGTGCGTCTATGGCTATGAGTACTGTACCCGATTATGGCTAGCAGGTAACGACTGCACAGCAGTGCTGCTAAGTGGTTCCTACTCTTCCTGAGGACGAATTAGAGCAACATGTACCTCACTAAATGTCGATAACTCCTTTTTTTGAAAAGCATAGCGTGTCCGGATTTTCACAGGTGGTCTGAGAACCTTTCCCAAAAGAGTCAGTATAAGCAAATGAGCCAAGCTCCCCTCTTCCTTGCCCGGGGCGTCTGAACTGCTTAATTAAGATGCTTCCGCGGGGGGGCAAATGCCGAAGTCTGCGAGGGGCAAATGCGCCCGGGGAGGAACTGGAGGGGAAGGGAAACAACTGGCCAGCTTCCCAACATCCTCAGTGGGTTGCGAGGACGTTGCGAGGTGTGAATCCGGCAGGGGCGCAGTAAACTCGCCCGCATTTATTTGTTAAATTTGTTACGCTCCCGTTGACCTGGGATGCGCCTTGCGGTTTCGCACAACCTGCCCTACCCCACAGGGTCGTTGGGCGAACCAAACCGGGGCGAAGAAATAAATGCCAGTCGAGCGCCCACCGTGCCGGCTCTGCGGGGACCACCCGCGCGCCCTTCTGCCTCCGCTGCTCTCGCTC